GAGGGGCAGCCCCGGGCCGCGTCGCTCCCGCCGGCTAGGGCCGCCAACTGGCAGTCCAGCAGGTGCTGGCACAGACAGGGGGTGCTGCGGGGCTCGCTACAGGCGGGACCCAAACGACCCCGGCGAGGAATGCAGCCAGGGCGGCCCCTGGTTTCCTCCACAGGACGCCCCTCGCCCCAAATAAAGAGCAGAATGGGTGGCAAAGGATGCTGTAAAAAGCAGACAGAACTGGGGAAGAACTTCCTGCAACTCTGCCTCTTCCCCCGCCCCCGTGGCCGTGACTCGTTATTAATTTCCGAGGGGATCCCCATTCCCAAAGGGCTTGTCCGGGACCCTTGGCCAGAGTTTCTGAAGCGAAGGAAGAAGGGAAGTTGGAATTCAAGGATTTCTCTCCAGTTTCCAGCTCTCTGAAGCGTGATGAATAAAGCAAAAGTCAAGACAAACGGCCAAAATAACAACATTCATTCGTTTAACAAGTACGGTCTTTATTGAATGCCTACTGTGTCAGGCACTGTTATAGGAGCTGGGGCTGTGGTGGTGAAAACAGAGGAAAGTCTCTGTCCTCTGAGGCTTGCATACTAGTTGGGCTACATTAAATTAATATCAAGCAAGTGCCATGGCAAGCAAATCAGAAATATTACCCAACGTCTTGTTAAACAAGTCAATGCAAACAATTCGACCACGTGTGGTGCTCCCTACGGGATTGGAAGGGAGGCTACACCCTTAAGGCGTCTGCCGAACTAGGGGTGGAGTCTCAAATGCCTCTTTTTAAGGAGCTGCCTTTCCTGGCCTTGCAAGGCTGTCTACTGAGTATCCAGGAGCGCTGCCCTGAAAAAGGATCCAGGAGTGCTTAGGCAGGGACACAACACCTACCGGACCAACCCGGGAGCTGACCCTTCCTCAGTCATGCTGAAAATACCACGCCCTCTTCCTATGTTTGGGCACCGACTGAAACCAACCAACCTGAGCTGTGTTTGTAGTAACTAGTCCTCTTCTTTTTTCCTCTCTTAAAGTTCTACTAAGCTCAGCTCCTCTTTGAAACCTCTACTCACCTATCGCATTCATTCTTTCTTCTTCTTTACCACTTCTGTCTTCAGAGTACAGGATATCAAGACAAATAAGGCCCAGTCTTTGACTTGAAAGAATTTAGAGTTTAGCCTTGTTATTTTATTCCCTTTAGCAGCTCCTCAATACCAATGTGAATCTATATTTGCACAAAAAATATGTTCCAAAAACGTTGTGTAGCTTTTTGAGGGAGAAGGGGAGTGTTCCCAATTTTAATAGCATAATGAGACTTGTTATATAAAAGACACGCATTATGAATGCATTTTAATCTATGCGTAATAAAAGTAATTACTCCCCAGTTTTTCTCATTTTGTAAGTTTAATATTCTAATCAGGATTTTTCTAAGTGAGGCTGTCATATGTTTGCATAGTTGAGTTTTTTGGCCACCCACATAGAGAGAGTGTGTGTGTGTGTGTGTGTGTGTGTGTGTGTGAGTATGTGTTTGCAGATGTAATCCATTTGCTCTCTGGAGATTATAAGGGTGATGACTACTCTTTATTTTGTATCATTTCATATTGGCTAGAACAGTGCCTGGCCCAGGGGGATAATGAATAAACACTCTTGACTGACTGACAGGTTTCTTTATTGGAGTCACTTACATTCTCCTGGGAATTTCAGCATGAAGGTTGTATTTGAAAAGTTACAGATGATGTAGAATAATACTCTACCTCTGTGTTTCACCTCATCCATATTCTACAGATTGATTTGACAATTGCCTTATAAATAAAGCCAGCCAGGTGCTCCTGCATGACCTCTAGACAAAATCATGTCCACATTGCCCAGTTTCCTTTCAACGTACTTGCATTGTTGTTTCTTGAACTGCTCCTGCCGTTGGCATAGTTGATTCTTTTAACACTTTATCCTCTGCCTGTCTTCCTGCTCCATTTCACTTATAAACCTTTCCTAGGAAAGCGGAATCTTTGCATTGAAAGTAAATTTCATGTAATCCAGAGTCTGCACAGTTACTAAACAATATATTTTGAATGAATATTGCTTTGTTTTGGCCTGAAGCATTTTCCTTGAGGAAAGGCATCTGTTCCGACAACCAAGAGAAAATAATTGCAAACATTCTTTGTGGTTTTCGTGTTTTTTTAAACCTTAGGAAGGAGTGCCCACTCTGGCTGAATGCATGAAGAGCGTTACCTATAAATTCTTGTTGAAGCGTATGGTAGAATGTACTCAGTTATTAACAATGATAATTTCAGGGAGGGAGGGTGGGTGTCACTACTAAATTTTCTTTTATGTGATATAAAATTTTAAAGCAAATTACACCTTTAGCTAGTTACTTGACTATGGAAAGCAGGAACTACAGGGACATATTTTTGCCTCAGAATATCAAATATTATAAATTTTCCTGCTCTCTTCTTCTGTTTCAATGTATGTTTCAGGCATACACACACACATAAAGGTATACCAGCAAAATTATTTTAAGACTTTTCCCAGAACTTTTCAGTTTTTTAATGGCAGAAAGTTGAGCATGAGTTTGAGAAGTTCAGAAAGCTCTCTTCTACCTAAATGTCTATTATGTTTCCAGAACAGCTAATAAACAACACTTACACATACATATATATGAGGCGAGGGGCTGGGGTATCATTAGTAAGCAAAGTAAATGGCCACAGATCACCACAAGAATAAAGACTGTTCTGCGGGTAAAAAAGAAAAAAATAAAGTAGTGTCTCTTAGAGTTATCCTTTTCTCTCTTCACTTTCTGCAGTTATCTTAGCTTGAGAAACATACGACTGTACTATTTCTAAGTATCTAGGATATAGTAATACTCTGTTTTTCCAACCTAGAAATAGTAAAATATGTTTTTTCTTATTTTTTATTCTTCTACATCAGTCTGCCTTTACCTCCCAGTGTTAACAATTACTAATCTGAGAAAGGCTTGCTTCCTGTGGCAGATGTAGAGGGTTGTACCAAGGCCCTGCTCTCAAAGGAACAGATGTACTTTTTAATTTTAACTTTTTTGGGAAAGGAAGTTGGGAAGTGGGAAGTTAGAGGTGTGTGACCGTGAGAAATGGGTGACAAAGACTGGCCTTTGGTGGCCTCTTTGGCTTTTCCCATTGAAGTAAAGCTGCTGTTCCCTTTTTGAAATAATGGTTGAGTATGCATAGATTTTTTCCAAAATCTTGGAAGTGTTTGTCTGACTCAGAACTCAGAGAGAGTAAGTAGCCAGAAACAGTCCCAAAGAAAGAGAAGCCATGGTAACCTTTGAACCACCACAACAAAAGATCATTTCACTGGGAGATGGGAGACCAGGGACTTAGTCTGGCTTTACCACTAACAAACAGTGCAACCTTGATCTAGAAATCCTCTCTGCCCTTTTTCTTTACATGAGACATTTCCACTGGATTCTGTCTCAATCCTCTTACTGCTTTAGAATTCTTTGGGTCTCTGAGCTATTCTAGGTAGTGATGGCAATACTTTTTCAACTTAATTGTACTTCTGTGACAATACTTGACTAGAATAATGGTTTCCTGGCCTTGACTCAAAGGTCTCTTGGTGGCTGGCAAGAGAAGATGAACAGGTACTTCTCCCTAAACTTCTCCGATCAAAGTAGTCTTCTTTTACCTGTTATTATTATGGTTTGGAAAAACAAATTCTATTGGTAACCAAAAAGAAGGGGAAAAAAAGTTTGGAAATCACTGACTAGGGCAAGTATCAGGAATTTTATTGAATTCAAGGAAATTAAATAAATTATGTGTGGGTATCCAGATTTTAATTTTTACTATTTGTTTGGTATCATGATAACAATATCAAGAGAGGCAAAATGTGGTCCCAAGGTAAAGAAAAATAGCTATAGTGCATAAGTGAGTTGTTAATAATAAGGAAATAATATTGTTTTTAGCCAAGAACAGATAACCAATCTCCTACTGTTCTATAGAGTCACACTGGTGGAATGTAAAGCAATCCTGGGAGCAAAGGGCACCCCTTAAGAATGTGGACAGCAGCCGAACACTATGGTTGGTCATATCCTCCAGTCAATAAGATGTCATTTTTCTCTCTCTTGAAATCACGTATAGGATATGAGGGCTGTTGTCCGCATGGTGACAAATCATCGTAGAGAGGTCAAGACACAGCTACAGATCCTCCTTTTTGAGATAGTGACCCTCTTATTTCAAAGGTCATGGGAGAAGGAGCCTTTCACTTTGTGATCATTGTTTCAAATGCAGTCCTTTCCTTGGCTACCAGCCTTTGTAAAAGAGGTGGATAGCCTCAATACACTACTTAGTGAACATTAAAAAAGCGTTGATGGTTAGCAGAAAGGAAAATATGGCTTAACTCATCTAATATTAAAAGTGTTCTCAATTGCTTTTGAAGTTCA